CCAGGGGATGCGCTTGCAGGTCGTGAATGGGAGTATTTGCAAGGGATGGGGAAGCGCTGTTCGCTTCAACAGGCAGCTGCTTTTTGCGCCTGTCAGGATTACTGAAAAGTTTCCAGCACTAATTGGCGGACACAGAAGTTTTCAGAGCATGATGCACCAGATAAAGGGGGGAGGAATATGTCAAAGGAAGAAAAAGAACAGACCAGCCAGAGAAAGCCTTTGTTAGGGACTATGCCAGAAGCTGGTGCCTTGGTTTGGAAGGCTTCCTCTGCCCCTCCAGAGGATGTGCTGGAAAAGAAGCTCACGCTGCAAAAGAAATTGTGCTGGTTTTGTCCATGAAACACCTTTGTACTTGTCGTTTGTACAATAACAGGTAGATACACAAAGTGACAATGACAACAAACAAAAAGAGGAAGACACACACTATGCAGTTCTAACTACAATATCAGCTCAAACTGAGCTAGAGTGTCTGGAGAGCCTGTAGGAACTCCCTCATTGCCCACATTATTCTTTAAAAAAAAAAAATAAATCTTCAAACCTGTCTTGACTGACAGAGATGAAGACAGATCTAACCTGGAACAGACAGATGGATCAGATGATCTCTTGAAGCTTCTGCCGCCCCAAATTTTTGTGAAGCCTTTCCAGTGCAACCAATACCCACAAAGTCTTTACTACACTAGGCAAGTTATTCACTAAAATAAAACAGGATTAATTTTGACCAAGAGCTCTGGCACAAGCAGTGCAATTTTATTTGCACTATCTTTTTAAAGGAACCATCTGGGCAAGCACAGGAGAGGCATTAAAAAGCACCAAAAGGTGATTAAAAAGTTCCAAGATCCACATATCCAAGATCCTCAAAGCATTTCATTCACAGACCTCAAAGGAAGTCAGAACTGCAATGCTCATTTTGTACCTGGGAGAAATAGACACAGAGAAGGGAAAGATTTTTCCCAAGATTACTCAAAAAACAGTGGCAGAGATGAATAGTTGCCTGACTCTTATTAGGGACCACTGTCTCTCCGAATATCCAACCCATCAAAGGACTCGGGAAGCCTCTCTGAAGTGTTTACTTTATAGACACAGAGTATAAATACTCTCAAAAAAAATCATTTGGCTTTCCCAGGCACAAATGGAGTTATCAAGGGAATCAGCATCAGAATGCAGAACATTAACTCTCAAAATAAACCAAACAAACTTCAGATTCCCTTTGTGCTTCAGCACAGACAGGGATGGGAAGATGGGGATGTGGACTTCACAGCTGGCTCAGAACACCAGAGCAGGGCATTTTGCTAGACTGTGCCACATCTCTCTACAACTATCCATGTGGGTAAACACTAGCATAATAAAAATATATACACTAGAAATAATAAAATATAGCATAATAAAATATATACACTAGCATAATAAAAATATATACACTAGAAAGTATCACCTAATTTCAGTGCCCATTCAAGTCGGCATCGTATTTTATTCCATCATTCTGAAGTAAAAAAAAAATTCAAACTTGACAACAAAATATGACAACGCTTGGTTTTATTTCTTCACACATCTTTCTTTGCTTATGCTGCGTCTGAAACAACCATGGCTGTTTTTATAGACACAGTTTCACTCATTTAGAAGGAGATAACAAAAACCGTGTCGCTGCATGGGAACGATTTCCAAGAAATCTGATGCACAAATATTGTGCATTTGGGGTTTTTTTTAAATGGGGTTTCTTTGGGATTTTTTTTTTTCAGGAATAGCACTAAGTATCAGTTTAAGGTGCCAGACTCAGAGTCACATGCAATGAAGTCATTTTTCCACTGGTAGCTACAGCGAGAGCTACTGCACAATCATGTAAGAGCAAGAAATTAAATCCAACTGTGAGGAAAGTGAATTTTCTTTGTCCTGTTAAGCATCGCAGTTCAACAAAGTACAAAAGATAAACACAGCACACAGGGTCCTTCAGCAGAGTGGGGGAAACGCTCGGACAGCACAGTGGTACTGCAGAAAAAGACTTTGTACATTGATGCACTGACAGACTTCTGTCTTTCTCTGTCAGTACCAGCCACATAGATGAGAGCTTTCACGTGGGACATGGAGAAGGCAGGATTAGAGTAGAACTCAGGAAGACCAAGTTCAATTCCTGTCTCTATCCCGGGCTTCTGAAGTGATCTTGGACAGTTCGTCTTCTTTATTCAGCAATTTACCTAATTTGGTTGGTTTAGAAAGCTGAGCAGTAAAACAAAGCCCCAGTCTTGCTGGGGTCCAATAGCACCAGTACTATCATCAGCCAAGGTGCTCTCCCAGGCAAGCAAGACCTGAAATTCTACTGTAAATAGAACAGCAATAGAAGAACAACAGCCAGAGGTTGTGGGCTGCCTAACTTGGCGATAGAGCAGCAGAAAGCACGCTTTCTCACCCCATGCTAGCAACTTCCTTGGTTGTTTGTGTGCTCAGACCCCTTGGGAGATGGAGGGGGAAACAGGTCACAAAGTATTCATAAAAGATATCTATGAAAAAAATAAATTTCTCTATAAATAAGTGTATACCAGTGTCTAAGGTAGGTTAGTCATGTTCAGGTCTAGCTACCTAAACCTGTACTTTCCCAGAGCCTTGCAGGTATATAAACCTAAGCCTGCGCTTTCCCAGAGCCTTGCCACAGGCATATAAACCTTGCCACACATTGTATAGATTCTGCAAAGTGGTACCAATACCATGTATCTGAGGGATGGAACTTGCTTTATATATTGTCCTCACCAGAATTATGACACACACACCCCCCCTCCCAAAAAAATAATTTCCCGGAGTATCAAGAATAGAGGAGGCACTTTGATAAATAGAACCAGCAACCTCAATCAGGAGGTGGAACCCATACCTGTACCCATTTTAACCACCCAGTAACACAAGGGAAGAAGAACTGGCATGTGTAACCTTACGCAGCTGCATCCCTCGACACTGGAAAATCCCCTGTTGGGCTCTTCATCGTTTCTTCTGCCAGAGCAAATGCACAAGTGGGGAGAAAGAGGAAATGCACCAGGAACTGCTACTTGCTGGAGTAAACCATGGCAGCCTCCAAGGCTACAGGAAGCCACGCACAACAGAAGCACATACCAACCCTTGGCCTCAGACAACAATCCAGTCCAGACTTATCCCAAGAGCATCTCCTGAAACACACAGGTTTTCCCCCAATTGAAGGCAGGCCCCACACACAAGCGCTCCCGAGATGATAGACTGGTTCCAGCACAGCTTCTCTCTGACATACCTGTAATGGCTGGTGCTAACGTTTTAACTTGTGGCTTGTCTCAGAGCTGAGCCTTTGAAGTCCTGTACTCTCAGTGATTTCTGGCAGGCACAGTGACACCTTTTCATGAGAACGCAGCTGTTTGAAGCAGACTCTCTCCTTTCTAGCCCTGGCAGGCTATAAAAGCAGGCAGGTAATTTCTTAAAATGCCAAATCCCAGACCCACATTTAAGAACAGGCAGCTGCACCATGTTTAAAGCATGACCTCCCCAGCAATGACGGGGCAGTACTGACCCATGCCGATTAAAGAGGCTCTCCTGGGTCACCACTGGGTAGAGGAACGCTGCCTTGCAGTCGTCAGGGCAGAGGCGGAGGCCAACAAGCCTGGCCATGCACCCTGAATATATCCCTGTCCACACACAGACCAATTCTTCTCAAACTGCAAGTCACCCTCAAGGAAACGCTTCTAGCCAACAGTAAAGGATGGGCTGATGAAACTTGACATCCATTCCAGCAGGATGAGTTTCTGAGACAAGGTTTGCAGGCCTACAAGACTGACGCTTGACAGAGCAGCAAATAACAGTCGGTGCTGACACAGTGCTTTGTCTCCCAGCACTTCCCAAACGCGGCTGCAGCCTGCCTAGAGACCCTGGAGATAGCAAGGCATGCCTCTGCCTCCATCCCTGGATGCTTCCCCAAACAGACCATTTGCTGGTTTGCACCAGGAGATACAAGGGGCAGAGACCTGCTCTATCTGCCCTGCCATTCATGCCTGAGCAGTGTGTGGATGCCAGCAGCCCGACCCAGCTGGGCCTTCCTCAGCAGCACATCTCCTTGCCACAGACAAAAAAACCCCATCGAATCCTGCAGTACGTAGTTAACGTCAACATCTGGATCACTAAAGAACAAAAATCCAGAGAGGAGACCGAGCCCAGCAAGCAGTCCAGCTTCCCGGAGACAAAAGAAAATTTTCCTCCCATCTCAAAACTGAAACTCGCTCGGCACTAAGCGATCGGTGCTGACACCCACTCTTATCTCCATCTTCCCAGCAGCAGCCCCCTGCTTCCCCCGCTGCTGCCAGCCAGAGCCATTTGCTGTGACCCGGCGGGTGTGCTCGCCGCCAAACCAACACCCCGCCGCGGCGGGGGCGCGCAGGGCGCGG